GGCCATGCACGGGCCAGGCAGACAGCTCACCAGGTAAGAGCACTTGTTGCTCTTGCAGAGGACCCAGGTTAGAGTCCCAGCACCCGCATGACGGCTCACAGCCATCCATAGCCCCAGCTCCAAGGGGTCTAACAGACACACACGTGGTGCATAGTTAAAAGCAGGCAAAACATTCATACACATAAAAGTAAAAAAAAATGAATAAATCTAAAAAGAAGTATAATATTGGAGTATAAATGGCTAATAAATATTTTATAGTATTTAATATCATTAGCCACTATGGAACTGCAAATCAAAACTACTTTGAGATTCTGCCTCACCACACCAAATGGCATCAACAGGGAAACAAAGGATGTTGGCTGGGCCATGGAGAAAGAACAGGCGCCCACTACTGGTGGGAGTATAAACTGGTGAAACATGGAAGACAGTGAACAGCGTGTATGCCTCTCACTGTATAACCCAGAGATTCCACTCTTGAGCATCACCCAAAGGACTATATAATCCAGGGATACCACTTTCGGGCACACACCCAAAGGACTCCATATAATCCAGCGATTCCACTGTCGGGCATCACCCAAAGGACTATATAATCCAGGGATACCACTTTCGGGCACACACCCAAAGGACTCTCTATTCATAATAGCTGGGAAATCAACCTGATGCTCATCAACTGATGAGTGGCTGATGAAAATATAAATTACAAATACAATGGAATTTTGCTTAGCTATAAAGAAAAATGACATTTGCAGAAAAACAGACACAACTGGAAAGTGATATATAAAGTGAGACAGTTCCCGTCCAGTGGGGAGGGGTTTCTACGGGCTGTCCTCATATGTGGTCCCTAGCTTCAGATGTTTAGATTTGTGTGTTTAACTTGGAGTGACTGTAGAGATCAAGAAAGTAGGAAGTGACCATGAAGGGCAGGAAGGGAAGGGGTCTTAATTGGTGTGTGTGTGGGGGGGGTGTCAATAGAACGCAAGTAACATTGAAGTAATATGAAGTTTAAGCAGCAATGAGGATAGGGACAAGACTGAGTTAATAAAAACGGAGGGTGTGTGGAAAAGCTTTATGGAACCTAACTTTGTAAGGCAATGATAAAACACAATAACAAGGAAGTGTTAAGGAAGGTATTCTGCGTGAGTGGGCACTGCTACTCCCAGAAGGCACGGGATGGCCATGGGATACCTCTGAGTTATTGGTCAGGGAGGCCTCAGTGGCCCCTGGAAATGCACAAGCTATCACAAATGCTCTTGATTAGCTATGCCTGTGACTTTGGCAAACCAACACAACCTAGAATCGCCTTGGGGGAAGCCTCTCAGTGAAGGATCGCCCACAGCACCCTGCCTTGTGAGTATGCCTGTGAGGGATTTTCTTAACCAGGTTAAGGTGGGCAGACTACCCTGACTTCGGGCAACAGCATTTCATAGGCTGGGCCCTAGGCTGAGTGAGCGCCTGGAGAGCTAGCTGAGCAATAGGCACGAGCCCTCTTATTTCTCTCTGCTAGTCTGTAAGTGTGATGTGACTAGCTGCTTCAAGTTCCTGCCAGTGTGGCTTCCTTGAAATGATAAGACTCTGACCTGGGACTGCGAGCTCAAACAAGTCCCTTCTCCCACAAGTTGCTTTTTAAATTTTATGTGCATTGGTGTTTTGCCTACATGTCTGTGTGAGGTGCCAGATTCCCTGGAACTGGAGTGACAGGCAGTTGGGAGCTGCTGTGTGGGTGCTGGGAATTGAACCCAGGTCCTCTGGGAGAACGGTCAGTGCTCTTAACCACTGAACCATCTCTCTAGCCCCATAAATTGCTTTTTGTCAGGGAATTTTATCACAGTGAAATAAAGGAAACTAGCCAGGTGGGGGTGGCGCACGCCTTTAATCCCAGCACTTGGGAGGCAGAGGCAGGTGGACCTCTATGAGTTCCAGGACAGGCTCCAAAGCTACAGAGAAACCCTGTCTCAAAAACAAAACCAAAGTAAGGAAACTAGGACAGCTGCCTACCGTAACTAGAGGATATGACCCTGCTGCTGGGAACACCACACACCTTGGTTAAAGGGCATGGTCAAATAAATCTGGAACTGACCAGAAACGTCTTCCCTGCTTGCCAGTTTTCATAGCGCCAGAAGGTTCTCGGGCTATTGAAGGTGGAAAGGCATCAATGGCCTTCCCAGTAGTGCACCTTATGCCACTGACCTGCCAGACAGGATGTGTCCTCTGCGCACAGTCATATGACTGCTTTGGGGTTAGCAAGTTTCTTTCTGACTGCATTTGAAGCCTGCGCCACAGGAAGTAATTCATGCTTGGTACTGTAAACACAGTCCAAAGCCCGTGGCTGGCAAGGTCACAGGCCCTAGAATGGGAATGCATTGCTGTTTTGCTAAATACTCATGTTGTCAAACTACCTTCCAAATATTTAGGTTTCTATCCACAGATTGGTGCTGCTGTGGGCTGCGGTTAAGGCAGAGTCATAACTGGTTAAAAATAAGAGATCATTAGGTACTCAGCTACAAATGGGGTATCTGTATCAACCCCAGCCCCCAGGCTCAGGGAACACTGCCGAAAAAGGAGGGAGAGGTCGTAAAAGCCAGAGGACAGAGAGGGGTGATGTGAATTGTCTTCTGGACATGGTGCGGCCATGTCTCATCAGAGCAGCTATGGTGACCTGCACAAAATCCAGCATGAACGGGGAAGAGGCTTGGGAGGCCCCACTCCCGAGGAGCTACTGACAACTGATGGCTGCCAGGGAGATCACTTTCTTAAGGAGTATGGCTGTTAGTATGCTGTCCATGCTCCAGTTGGTGCACACGCGCGCACACACGCACATGCACACACGCGCGTGCACACATACATACATACACACACATACACACACACACACACACACGGAGGTGGGAGATATGAAAGGTCTGGGGACAGGGAATATACAGATACATGATATTGTCAAAGAATAAATAAATAAAGAAAAATGATAACAAGTTGGATGTAGGGCAAATTCTTTAAATTTTATCACTCAGGAGCCAGAGGCAGGTAGACAGATCTCTGGGAATTTAAGAGCAGCCTGTTCAACATAGCAAGTTCCTGGCTAGCCAATGGCTATACAGTGAGACCGTGTCTCAAAAAAAAATGGGGACAGGGAGCTGGAGAAAAGGCTCAGTGGTTAAGAGAACTGGAGGCTCTTCCCGAGGACCCAGGTTCAAATCTCAGCTCATCACTACCTGTAGTTCCAGGGAATCCAACACCCGTTCCTTGGTCATCTATTGGCACCAGGAATACATGTGGTGTGCATACATATATGCAGACAAATATTACACAAAAAACAAAAATAAATGTTTAAAAATGACAAGATTTTTTTTTCAAAATTTATTTATTTATTATGTATACAATATTCTGTCTATATGTATGCCTGAAAAGGTCACCAGATCTCATTACAGATGGTTGTGAGCCACCATGTGGTTGCTGAGAATTGAACTCAGGACCTTTGGAGGAGCAGGCAATGCTCTTAACCTCTGAGCCATCTTTCCAGCCCATGACAAGATATTTTTAATTCCTTCCACCCATCACCTTTTGTATCGCTGCTCTGACACATTCCTCTATGTATATACACACATATACACAGATATGGTAGATCATGTATTTAGTAAACTTACCTGACCATTTAATATGAAAAAAAATAAAACGTATTTTGCTTATTCTGACACTCTTTGTTTTGTTTTGTTTTGTTTTGTGGGGTTTCTGACCTCTGTCTCTCAGTGTCTGAGAAAAAGGCAGGGCTACTCCTACTGACTAGACTTTGTCTCTCTGATGCTATGGTCTGTATATAAAATGTCCTCCGTGGGCTCAAGGGTTGGAGGACTTGGTTCTCAGCCAGTGGCACTGATCAGAGAGTTTGTTAGGATGTGGTGCCTAGCTGGAGGAAGAGACAACCAGACTCTGTAGACTACACCGAGGAGTCAGGGACAGAGGAGAGTCCAGCCTGCAGAGTGGCCCTGAGAGGAAAAGACAGCACCGTCCTCACTTGGGTCCTGGCAATGAAGGAAAGTTGCCCACCAGGAAGGCCTGTGTCACGCAGGTGGTGAGATGCCAACAGGGCTGAACGCTCCCTCCTGAGTCAGAAGCCCAGTGGGGTGTGGATGGCCACCCAGGTGTTTCCTACTCCCTGAGTCTTGTGCCCTGCTGACAGGGAGGTGCGGGTTTCGGCATGTAGGGTGCCATGTCCAAATTTGTTGTGTTTAGTAGTGTCCCCTGCTCCAGCAATCCCGGGGCCTTCCCAGCTTCCTGCTCTGGAGTCGGCTTCTCCCTGTGTGCATCTGGGCCCTCCCGCAGTTAGCGGGTAGCATATCATGGGGTTCACTGACTAGAAAGACAGGGTCCACAGGGTGTCCCGCCTACCATCTCTCTGAGTGTCCCCATCTCATGCTGTGATAGCCTTGCTCTGCTCTGCACACAGGCTCCTCCTGGGTCACCTACAGGTCTCAAAGATCTTCAGGGAAGGGCCCTCAGGAAGATGCTGAAAGCCTGGGGCCTAGCAAACACCTCTCCATCTTCTATCAAAAGCAGACAGTTGGTGGAACCACCAGAACTCCCGGCACTCGCAAGGCTGAGGCAGGATTCTGAGCGTGGTCAGTCTGCACTACGTAAAGAGACCCTGTCTGGCAGAGGTCTCCTCCCAAGAAAAGGGCCTATTATGCAAGCACAATGAAATCATTGAACTACGACAGGCATGGTGGTTACACCTTTAATCCTGGTAGTCAGGAGGCTGAAGCAGGAGGAGCTCCCTGAGTTAGAGAATAGTCTGGTCTACATGGAGAGTTCCAGGCCAGTCAGGGCCACATAGTGAGATCTAAATAAGTGAGACTCAAAACAGAATATTTTAAAAAAAAAAAAAAAAGGCAAACAAAACAAGTATTACCACACTGATCTGGCTCTTCCTTAGGGCTCTGAGGTGTCCCCCTCCCAGACTCCACATTTCCCTTCCCCCACTCCACACGCCCCTTCCTCCAGCCCCACACTGGGGGTTCTGCACACTGTGCCTCCAAAGCAGTTTCCTGTGAATCCTGGGAGGCCTCCCTGGAACAGTCACCCCAACACTCCCCCACAGAACCTAACCACTCAGTCTTCCTACCCCACACCTTGTCAGTCTGTCCAGAATCCCCGTGTGGGGAGGCTGAGAAGTGCCTCTGGGTCAAGAACGAGCAACCTGTGGCTTTTCTGCTCAAAAGGGCTGAGGAAAAGTTTATTTGGAGAGTTTATTAGGATGTGGTGCCTAGCTGGAGGAAGAGGAACCAGACAACCAGACTCTGTAGACTACACTGAGGAGTAGGACACAGGGACACAGGGGAGCGCAGCCTGCAGAACCTCCCCAACAGAATCAAGCTTTGAGCACATTCCTGGAACTTAAGAACATGTGGGTGCCTCCCAGTGCGCTCCTCGTCACTCAGTCTGTGCTAGGGACACCAGGCAAGCCTGCCCCCGGTCTTCACGGAGGTCCCTTCTGGCCCTGGGTTTGGGCAGTACCTCAACTTACAGACCACACAAATTCCAACAACTTGTTCAGAAATGAGTTTCTCAGAATGTTCGAACACATCTTAGGAGCTACTGGGTGGTGCTCTCTCTTTCCATTCGAAACGTGTGGATGTACACTGGTGTGGAACCCCAGGAGAAAACCTCTTGTGAAAGCCACAGGTCTCCACACACCCACCCTCTGAACTCTACCTTTTTTTTTTTTTAAATTGTATTTATTTTTATTTTTTGTGTATTAATGTTTTGCTTAAATATATGTCTGTTTACCATGTGTGTGCCTGGTGCCCATGGAAGTCAAAAGAGGGCACCAGATCACTTGGACCTGGAATTACAGGAGATTTGTCAGCCATGACATGGGTGCTGGGAATCAAACAGACATCCCCATACACCAGTGACCTTGTGACGGGGCCAGGTAAGGGAGCACATACCCATAATCCTAGCACTTGGAAGGCTGAGACAGGAGGACTGTGGTAAGTCTGAAGCCAGCTTGGACTAGAATGAGAACCTGTCTCAAAAAAACAAAACAAAACAAAACCCACCCTCCTCCCCTGCACAAATAAACAAGCCCAGAGTCCACTGGGAAGGGGCTTGTGGAAGTAGCTCCTAGCAGAGACATGAGAACCCGCACTGAAAACACACAAGACCAGCAAAGGCAAACAATAGGGCATAGCTTGGGCCCTCTTAGCAGGCACCTAGGCACATTTCTGAGTAGCCTGGGGATCAGCACTGTGTCTGTTTCCCTAGAAGCAGAGGCATCTGCTGCGGAGGCACTGCGCTGGGGGCGGGCTGTCTGCAAGGGCAAGGCCAGCAGCATGTCTGGTCGTGGTCATCAATTTACTAGATTAAGAGCTGTCTAGGAGTGGTGAGACATGCCTGTGTGTCTGGGAATGGGGTGTGTATGCTTCCAGAGGGACAGGGACTAGGAAAAAGGGGATTGACTTGACTGTGGGCAGCCTAAAGGGGTGGTGGAGGAAGCAGTGTGTGCTAAGTGTGTGGGCCCTCTCTCTGAGAGTGCCCGGCTCCCATTATCTTTGACCTATAAATGCAGAATGAAGACCAGTGTTCCAGGAGCTTCCAGGCCTTCAGAGCTGGGGCTGTTGGAGGGTCTGGAGTCTTGGCCTGGGCAGCTATGGTGTTCTCTGACTCTCCAGGGTGCACATGGCTGTGCTTGGACTCAGCCCTATGACGTAAGCAATACATACACCGAGGCTACTAGATTTGTTCCTCTACAGAACACTAACTGACGACCAGGATAAGGTGGCAGGGGCTATAGCAGCATCTTTTTTTTTTTTTTTTTAACATTTATTTATTTATTATATATACAATACTCTGTCTTGTATGTATGTCTGCAGGCCAGAAGAGGGCACCAGACCTCATTACAGATGGTTGTGAGCCACCATGTGGTTGCCAGGAACTGAACTCAGGACTGTTGGAAGAGCAGGCAATGCTCTTAACCACTGAGCCATCTCTTCAGCCCCGCTACAGCAGCATCTTAAAGGGGAATCAATGCCTGTGGCAAGTGAACAGCAGAGTTAGACCAAGTACTCATCCCTCAGAATGACTGGCATTTTCTTTACTGTTCAGCTGAAACGATGATAATATGATGTGATTTGTGCACGGCAACCTGGGTCACAGTCCCATAACAACAGCATAAAACTGGGGTCTCAGAGAGTACAGGGAGGATGGCTACGCCGTGGTGGCCATCCTTACCTGAACAGGACTTGGCCCACATGCTAAGGGCACCTGGAAAACACATCATACTCATGCATGCCATGGCTCCTCTTGGTGGCCCATCCTTAGGAAGGTGTCACAGTTCCACAGCACCACGAATGGCTTCCCAGATTCCAGTGCAAAGGACACAGGCCTGGAAACATCAGAATCAAGAGCACCATGCCAGGGGGACCGCTCTGCAACTTGCTCCGCTACAGCAGCTTCCTCATACGCCGGTTATGCTTGTCCACAGTCAGGGTAGCCTGGTCCACAGCCTCGGTGATGCCGTCCAGAGCTTCATCCTGGCGCTCGAGCTCTGCCTCGGTGTCCAGTGCCAGTCCCTTCAGCTTGCTCAGGATCTGGGAGAAGCACAAATGACAAGCATATGCACACTTCCGTCCTTTTCCCAACAGTGAAAGCCATGAGGACACAGCCTACAGAGCTGCTGCCTGGCTTGGCCTCCGCACTAGGCCTAACCCTGTGTACTGGCATTTCAAATATATTTTAATAAATAAAGACTGCCTGAAGATATGAGAGTAAAACAGTCCCACTGGTCAGCCTTACAGACCAGGTTATGGTAACACACCTTTAATCCCAGTAACCACACTAGTTGTCATAGAAACTGGAAGGTGCACGCCTTTAATCCCAGCCCTAGAGAGTATTACAAAATGGGAGGAAACAGCTCTCAGGTACGCAGTCTTCATCTCAGATTCCAGGAGGCAGGATCGCCATTTTGGACTGAGGTCGAGGTAAGAGCCAGTGGCTGTTTTGCTTTTCAGATCTTCGGGTTGAACCCCAATTTCTGACCCTGAGTTTTTCTTAATCGTCCCCGGATGCAGCTGCCCGCCATCATCAAGTGTGCACGGCCATCCCCAGAGGGCGCTGAGTGAAACCACTGCGGACCTGGGCTAACCGAGTCATGAGGCTGCATGGCTCCCACTGTCAGACAAACACGGGAACGAACCCTGAGCTCAGTACAGCAGTGCGCTGGTCATGCTACAGCAGCTGTGTGTGTGCTCACAGCTCCCATGCCAGCAAGGGACGCAAGCATTCAGACCCGGGTAAGTCACCAGATGTTGGTAATGGTGAAGTCCCCTCACTAGGCTCCCCCTAAATGCATCCTCATCATAAAACGACAAATGCCTCTAATTTAATAGGCTACACACAACACAAGGTCACTTTAAAAATGTAAGGCTGGCCATATTTACCCCAGTGCAGAGAACAGGTATGTGTGTCCGTGGGACCACTGCAGGCCAGAGAGGTCAAGGAGACTCACCTCCCATTAGCTGCCCACATTCACATCTGTGGTCCGCGTCATACTCCAGGCAGTTTCATTTTACCGCAGTCCCGAGCTCCTCACACTGTGGTTACTCTATGTTCTCACGAAGCTGGGTTAAGCAGCTAATATTCCCCAAGCTGACAGCAGAAAGGAAAGCACACTGAAAGGAAACAGCGCCCACCACTTGTGATGACTGTGAACACCTTCTTCTGGGGAAAGAAGTGGGCCACGGAAGAGGAATTGAGGAACCTGAGTCATCGGGACATCTTGGTCACAATCACTGTCTCCCCACAGCTGTTTATAACAGGGATGGGCTGAGTAGGGACTTCAGAGGCCCCTAACATCTGTCTAGTGACCCTCCCTGACCTCTACCTGTCCTATGAGGGTCTGGCCCAGCTACCACACACCTCTGGTGGTCCAAACTGCTCTATCGGCACCAGCTGGTGCCCCCAGTCACACACTGTGTGCTCAGTTCCAGTTCACAAAGGCACCCTTACTCACAGGCTGGCCTTTCCACCAGTGTGGCGACCTGGCCAAGCTGTGCCTTTGACTAACAACATACAACACAAGCAGGAGAAGCCAGGACAGTAAGCCTAAGTTCTTTCTTTCCTGACAGCTAGAGTCACATAAGCCATCCGCACAATAAACTGCAAACTTGAAAGGCCTGTGATGGGGCCACCAGTGGGTCTCGGGAGCTCCTCTAAAGACAGACACAGAGACTGTGACAGAGTGGGACAGCCCATGTCTCCATGAACACTGCTACCACAAGACAGGTCTGCTCCCCCAGAAGCCAGCTCGAGCTCTGAAAACACGCTGTGGGGTTAGCCCTGGAGATGGGCGGTGACACCATACAGTGGGTCTTTTCCATCTCCTACACTTGTGACCTCACCTAGTGGACACCAGACAGCAAAGGAAAACAAGGAAATGAGTCCCCTAACACCCATCCCACCCCTCTCTCTCGCCCATCGTCCTCTCTCACCTGCCTGCCACTTACGTCATCTGACAAGGCCCCCAGCCTCCGACGGTCAGGCCATACCAATCCCAGGCCATGCTTCTCTACAGACTCTGAGTCTGTGTGCACGTGGGTCCATCAGAGCACATGTCTTTCCAGAGGTATAAATTTACTGTGATGTGCTGATAGCGCGACTCTCGGCTAGCGCCCTGTCCTGAAGGTGTACGCGCCATGGTCTGAAATAGAAATGCTCTAGATTATGGCCTCTTTTAACTCTGGGCACCACAGCTTCTAGCCAGTCATGTGTGGGTCCTGTAGCCTCTCGGCCACAGCTCACTTAGTAGACAGACAGCTTGTCTTGTTTGCGTCTAAGAAGAACAGTGCTTGCAGGAAAGAAGAGAAGGGGGAAGAAGATGGAAGCCGCCCATGACTCAAAGTGTTACTCATCACATTAGACGGCAGGTTGGCATCCCCCCCCAACCCCAAATCTGCATCTTTCTGAGCTGATGTGACACCACTGCAGCTCTCGGGACAGGTCACATCAAAACGCAGGCGTGGAGGGACACACCTGCAAGATCAGGAGTTCAAGGCCAGTCAGTCCAGCCTTCATTACACAAAACCCTATCTCAAAACAACAAAAATAAAACATAAAACCTCCAAAATGTGGGCAGAGTGTTAGCTACTGTCTGAGATCACTTCGAGCATGTGTCAAAGGCACACACACAACAGGTGAATTTCACGCTTAGACTAGTCCCAGTCCGAGGCTATCTCACGTCTGAGAAATATTTCAAAATCCTAAATAATTCAAAACCAGTATGGTCCTGAGTGCTTCAGAAAAGGAATGTTCAGCCCATGTGAGCTGGATTTTATTACTACATCTACATGCTTGCGTGAAAACTAAAAAACACGATCAAAGTACACTTTCAGTTTGTTTCCTGTTGTTTACTTTTTCATTCTCTAGTTATTCTAAACAAAAGCTTGAACTGTGTGCCTCCTGCCATGCAACTCACAGAGCTTAATTTCAGAAAGTGTTCAGTTTTTTTTTTTATCTCAAACTTTTTAAAAATAAGATCCAAAAAAGCTGTGCACTGGCCATGAGCGCTAGCGCTCACTGGATCCAGACTGAGCCAGCTTACAAGAGACATAATCACTAGCTTGGCATTAACTGCCACAGGGGGATGACTGAGTCACAGCACCAGGGCACTGTGAGAAATCACACGTCCCTGGAAACAGAGCAAGACTCTATCTGTCTCATGGGGGCCTGTCCAGGATACTGGGCTAAAGGACCTACCCAGCCCTCACAGCCCGCAGTGCCATAAAGCTGCAGCGCAGGAAGAAGCAATGCATTCTTAAATGACCACAATTTGAGGTGTGAAAAGTGAATACACCCAAAATATACTTCAAAAGGTAAACAAACGAAAGTCATGATTGGTTAAGTATAGTACACACAACACAGAAGTCCCATATGTCAGTGTGAGTGTCAGCCAGGACAAACATGAATGCTAGCTATATGAAACAGGATCAAGGGACACGGGACATTGTGTCCACAAAGATCACCTCTATGACAGAGTCTGTGAAACAAACAAAATATCACCTCATTTCCAACTGCCATCTTTCTGAAAAGCTAGGTCGACTGTCCCTCCCCTGTGCACAGTGAAGCGGCAGCAAGAGAGAGGCTATGTGTGGGATGAGGACGCAGTGCAGTTGAAGCTCAGCCCCCAGAATTACATAAACCGGGTGTGGTGGTGTCTGCCTGCAATCCCAGCACTTGGGAGGTAAAGTCGGAAGACCAGAAATTCAAGGTCATCTTGACTAGGCTATGAGACCTTCTCAAAGAAAAAAAAAAAAAAAAAAAACAAGAAAAAAAAATCAGTGAAATCAGTGAAACTGTGTAGTCTGTGACTTCTGCCTAATAGTCAAAGAATAAAGAATATTCACATGTAATAATCCGTGGCCCAAACAGCTGATTGCCTATCCAAGTTTCAGCATTTTATTGTACAAATACTCAAAATACAGGCTGGTTGCTATTTAATCTTTGATTTGGAAAAACTCTCACAATTTTTTAAGTCTTAAAAATAGAACTCATTCCAAATAGGCTGCTAAGACCCCTTGGCCTGTCTGCCAGAATGCACTTGGAATTAATTAATCCTGCCCATACTGAAAAGACATCCAGCAGCTACTAGGTCCGCGGACACAGAAAGTCACAGAGCTAACCTTCTAAGCACTAATACCGCTGGAATATTGGGAGCCTTTTTTCTTTAAGAGGGGGATTGAAGTAATTAAATAGCACCACGCACATTCCATATAACAGGGGATGGAAAGAATGGAGCTCATGAAGTCTGGCCAAACCTTAAAAACAGTTGTTCCCCCTGTGGCCCGGGATGACAAGCTGTCTAGTCATCAGCTCACAATGCTGCCAGCCTCTGACATACCCAGGGGCCCCTTGATGGGCCCTCTCTGGCTGGGAGTCAAAGACCAGGCTCAGATGGATGTTCCCACAAGTCCCTGCTATGCAGCAAACAAGACTGCCACTCTGTGCAGACTACCTAACCGTCACCCAGTGCAGGACAGGCAAGACATGTAAACATGGGCAGGCATGTGTCCAGGAGAGTTTGGGAAGTTGAGGGCTCTTCTCTCGGGGAAGCTAAGCATGGAACACAACAATCAGCCATCAGCAGTCAGCGCCACTGTCCAAGAGTCCCATCAGCTCCTCCCAGTGTGTGTGGTGGGAGAAGGGAATAACAGTTCAGGTGACTTCAGGCAGGAAGTAGAGAGGGACACAAGAGATCAGGGAAGGAACAGACACCCCCTACCCTCACAACACACACACACACACACACACACAGAGAGAGAGAGAGCTGTGTCCCTAGGACAAGCACAATTGCCACTTTGCAAGGGGCTATTCCCAGGGAATCCTTGAGGAGGGCTCTCTAGCCTTCCTGGCCTTGAAAGGCCCATGAGTCCTCAAGGCTGCCCTGGACAAGAGTTCAAAGCCCAGCAGTATGTGACGAGCGGTCTATCTGCACGACACTGCCTGGACTGGAGACAAGCCCACCAACACAGCCCTGGCTGGTAGCCAGGTCATACCAGGGACACCAGAGGAGCAGAGAGAGACCTCAGCCTCCTTG